AGTCATAACCGACAGTCGCAATACAGTTGCTGTCTAATATCCTAACCGCCAGCCAAGAGGTCTTTGAAGTTGAATTTCTGTTGTTAAAAGTCAGTAGCACCAGAACAAATATTCCCTGGCGCAAAAATCTTTTGTCAAACCCACTTTACTCAAAACATATTTTCTTACTCAAAAGGGATATTAGAGCATAATGCATTACTTACATTCAGAAGTTGAAAAAACAGGAACATACTGTACAGAGACTGCATATTAACAGCCATGTGCTTGAAGTATGGGTATACGTACATACTTTTTATGTATATAACTGGAACTATATACTACTACCGCCTCTCCACACTACCGTCCAACAAAAATTGGATTTAATATCACTTCCCCCCATCTATATCTGTCTAGTATGCGAACTCAGAAATAAACATATCCTTCTCAATTAGAGCCACTGCTATAAACATATCCTTCTTCAATTAGCCACTGCTTCACAATCCACTACTTGAATTTCTCAGATGCTCTGGAAAGCTACTTTCACTGTTGTCTGCACCCATGAAACCTGAAACAAGTGTGTGTTCTTGCCACCATAAATAATATTCTTTTAATGTGAAAAATGTAGGAAATCGGAATGGTTTGGGTAAATGGCATCAAAAGCAAGCAACTAAAACTCTAGTCAACCTCAGCGTTAAACCAAAAGGGCATCGTAAACAAATGAATTAGTATCATATGCATTCTGAGAAAACAGAATATTTACCTAAAACATTACAGCCAAGCCCTAACAATTCTCTACACTAGTTGCAGATGGACATTTCCCCTCTTTTGCATCAACATTTTCAATGCCAGCTGGATTTTCCTCACTCCTAGAACTCAGGGTTCCAGGTTTCTTCATCTTCTGGACCTCCTCTCTTGTATAGATGTACATCTTGCGAACCATGGCACAAAATTCCCTGATTCACATGAAAGAACAAGATGATGGTCCAAGTCCTTAAATAGAATGTATATACTAGGACGAAATAACTAAGAACTGTAATAGAATGACAAGGCAAGAATCCTTACTGCCAGGGATCATCTCCAACAAGCATCATGTCACCCTCATCATCAGTATAAACAATCAGCCAGTTCTTAGAAGCCATCAATTCCCCTCCAAACTCAAACAACTGATCCAATTCAGCAATTAATTCATTGTAGTTGCTGAACTTCGTAAGATCCACAGACCTACCAAGAGCAATCCCCTGCTTGTGAACCTGAAAACAAAAAATACTAATTTAAGTCCTTGCTCAAATTACATGGTACAACTTCTTATTACTTAAGAAAAAGACAAGATGAAAAAAAATTGACCTTAGTACAGCTCCGTGTTGAATTGCTATACATTTTGCCATGGGGCTGGCACTGAAATGGTTTCTCCTGCTCAACAGCAGCTTGATCATCTGATAACTTTGAGCCCTTTGACTGATCAGACTTTTGATCTGACTCAAATAGATGAACTTGATATGTAGCAGCATGCACAGGCTCATTCAACACATTTCTATTGGAAACTGCTGGCTCTGTTTCGACAGGGTTACAGATGAGTGGAATACCAAAGAGTTTGCAGTTCCCTTCTTTGGGCTTCGCACTCCCTTGTTCTGCTGCCAATATTGTTTTGGACATTAAGTCTCTTGACTGAGCTGGGTTCTCAAAATGAGATCGTGGTGGGGGAGGCATCAACCAGTTTCCATGTGAGTGCTCAACCCTAGGACCATGAAGCATGGGAGAGTCACTAAAAGCCCCATACCCAACATTCCCTCGTGCTTGATAAGGCGATTCAACACCCTGCATAGGAGACTTCACACTAGGGTCTGGCAACTTCAGAGACAGACTAGATGACATGAGGGAAAAGGGGCCTGAAAGCAAGTTGAACTTTGCCTCTTGATCTAGTAGCTGTTTCCTTGCTGGATTAGTGGCTGCAGCAGCCTGATCGACAAAGGTTGGACAGTAACCACGGGACAAATCAGTGTTCAATCCAAAACCTGAAAGCAAATCTGTATAAGTTGGTTCATTCCTCCCCAAGGACATCCAGTTCTCTGAACCATATCTTCTAGATGCAGAAACAATATCAATCTTCTCTTCATCTAATGAAGGTGGCCAGGCAACAGACTTTTCAGCAGTGTCAGACTCATTACCCTCTGCAAAGTTGCATCTCAAGGTCTTGAATTCTTGACCTTGCAAGACCCTTGAAAAGCCACTTGCAGGTGAAGGGTCTACAGTCACTTTTGTTGAACCTAATCCATATGCAAAACTGAACTCAGACCACAGCCAACATTAATGAATAAATGAACAATTACCATATACACAACAGCATACCTTCCCTCGTAAGAACAGAGGAGTCCGGGGATGAAGGCACCATGTTTGATCGGGGCCTTTTTGGCCTTGGCACTGGAAGGGGATTTGGGGCTGGTGGAGCCAAAGCAGGTTCTATTTTCCACGGTGATACTCTATCTGGACGAGGTATGGTAGAATTTTCATCCCATCTCACCTAATAGAAATAATGGAAAGATCATTTTAAAACTCTAATCAACTTTTAAGTCAAGCAGCTATCATGCATAGCAGTCCATAAATTGTCAAACTTTATTTAAGGAATTTAAAAATAAAAATAAAGAGAAATAAAGCATACCTTAAGGCACCTCCATTTCGAATTCTTCCACCTATTGGGATCAGCATCTTCATTTCCAACTATCGTGCCGGTAAACCTGCAAAAAAGGAAAACAAAATATAAGATTTCAGAGTGTCCCCATATTAAGAAGGGATGAATCACCAGTCTGCCAATCCACTGCATCATGGTGGAGAAAACTGTAGAATGATGAGTTGGCAACACCAACAAACGAATAAGACTCAAGCCATACCTCTGCTCTGGAGCCTCTTCACCCTCAAACCTCATTTTGAACCTCATTCCAATTGAGTGGTGGTTCTTTACAGATTCCATGTACTGATCAAATGGAACAATAAACTCAGCTGGGCTTGTCCTGTAACAGGAAATTAAAAAAATAATCCAGACATCAGAAACAGAATGTCAAACCAATTTGATATTTGAGCAACAATGACAGAAATTAGTTCCACCAATGGCAATATTATAACAGAGCTGTTAATGTGTTGTGCCAGAAAAGAAAAAAACTGTAAAAAATAAACATATTTAATTATTTATAACAGCACACAAACCTAGGCTTGTAATAAACTGTAAACATGGTTTTTGTTGAGATGGCATGCCATGCTGTAGCAAGCACACCAAGATGCATGCTGTGACTTGATATCACTGACGAAGGAACATTGCCCTGCTGTCTCAATGCCCGTCTAACACCAACACGTAGTTCTCCATTCTCACCCCTAGATATCAGAAGTCAACTTCATGCATTAGCTCCCAAATCAGAGATAAAAGGCATGCTAAACCAACAATCCCCAACGGTATAATTGATGAAGAGACCAAACCTTAGAAATATGAATGCATCGCCTGCAACTAGCCTCTTGGAACTAACAAAAACACTCCAGCCACTTTGAAGCAAGTGCCTACGTGGTTGACCTGATTTCAACCACCATGTTGATTAAATAAATTTTAGAGAAGATGATAATTATCTGGACATTATATCCATTTTGAAAACAAGATTACCAAGCACAATGGTTCAGATTATGCATGAAAACATAACAAATTACAACATCTTGGGTATGTGTGGACACAAAAAAAAAAAGAAGAAAAACAGCAGGCATGTACGGCCAAAATATTCAAGACAAAAGCATTACCCCTAAAGATATGCCGGAAACGCCATTCATTTCCATGCAAATCCTTGGCGGCCAACTCCTGCGTTGGAGGTTGGCGAGACATGTCCTGTTAAATAAATAAAAAAAAAGGGCTCAAGATATAATCAGTCCTAATTCCTGTGAAGGAAATAAAGAAGAATAAGTATCCCAAGTAAATAAATACAAACCAAAGGCGGTAGACACTCATCCGCATGCCGCCTAAGCACCGAAAAGCCACCATGGGTGCTCGTATCAGAGGCCGTAAGAGTCTTACAAAAGGAATGTACGTGGAACCGGGGGGGTGTAGGGGGAGGAGCCACCTTCTCCACCATGCTCTCATCTTGCTGAAACCATAATAGGGAAAGAAGAACACTGTTAAGATTGAACTTCAAATCAATTCCCAATAATAGCACACATCAACAATAAAAATGAGACCACACTTACATTAGACTCGGGAAGCAAAGTGATTTGCGCAAACACCTCATCGGTATCTGGTTCAGCCTACAGTTCACATCAAGTACATCATCACCATTACAAAAGCAAAATCCAAGAACATAAAACTTCAAATTAAGTTATACCTAATCCTTGCAAAAATACCTAATTTAACAACAAAACTGGACTTAATGGTACCTTTAGTGCAACGTTAATCACACGACAGAGGATCTTTGATGGAAGATCATAAACTGGCATCTGTTGGTCTGCCACCTGATTGGTAGACGCCTCAACCTAATAATTATAATTACATAAAAGCAGATTAAACCAAATCCTGACATAGAAACAAATGAAGAGCAAAATCGGGTAGAAGATCAAAACCCCTTCACATCCAATTCATCCCAAAGAGAAAAATTTTTTAATTTTAAACCAAGAACAGCTGGAAGAACATGTGAAAGTAAACTCAATTAACAAGTAATCAGAAAAAGAAACCATCCACAACCAGAAACTTCTTAGAAGTTTAGCTCCAAAGAACAAAAAGGGGAAGAAAAAGAGCACAAGGAAGAACAGAAGCCTAAAAACAAACCTGCTCTATGTGCCCCTGAGGGAAGTAAAAGACAAGCTCTCCTTCACGAGGGACGGTAACCAAAGGACCAGCACATGCATGCCAGAGCTCCGTGTAGAGCGCCGTATCAGGGTCTACGCGCGCACAAAATGGAAACAATAAACAAAAATGACCCAGAAATCAAGATAGAAGATCAGCCGGAAAAAAACACCGGTAACCTGAACATCTGTATGAAGAAGAAACAAGAGAAGGAAATGGAGGCGCCAGAATTTACCTCGGACGGCGGCAGGACGTGTGGAATGACAATTTTGCCCCTCCATGGTGTTTCTAACATCGTTGGGCTCGCTGTAACCAGAAGAAAAACTCTCTCCTCTTCCGTTAACCGAATTTCCTTTCATAGACACCTCTGAAGTCGCCATTTTCCTGCAAATCTCAGCTCAGATCTCTCATCTGCTACTCCCAACAACTCACTTAAAACACAAACAAACACTGAACCCCACCAAATTTCCTCAATCTACTATCACCTGTGTAAAAACTCTGAACTCTCTACAGCTCAAAAGCAATCAAGCACCCTCGATCAGATCAGAGAAACCCCAAATTCCGAGTCCTGAAGAAGAAAACTATACCCTGTTTCTCCCGTCAAATTTCCTGATTTAACCGCTCATCAATGAATCGTTGCCTCTCTTTGGTCGCTTTCACCACCTCTGCTACGCAGAAAGAGCTTCGGCCTCTATCTCGCTTCAGCCATCAATTTGCAGCAGGTGCACCAGAGCTCACAAGTCTCTCTCTCTCTCTCTCTCTCTCTTTCTTTCTATTTCTTTCTGCATTCCTTTCTCTCTCTATAGGAATCCGAACTTAACCAAAGGATGGTCAAAACTGCGAGCAATCATTTCAACCGCGGTCAATTTTTAACCAGAGACACCGCCTGTCACCGGTTACAATCTCTTTCTACCGGCTCGACCGGTCGACCTATTAAGGTAAGGTTAAAACTCAGGGGACCAATATCCACCATCCACAAAAGAATTAAAATTTTATAAAAATATTAATAATATAAATTATTTTCAATTATATAATAAT